TTCATTCATGAAAAACAGGATTAACAAGAATGTAAAGAGTTGTTTGTTGTCACAATGTATATGGGTCAAAGAAAAATAATTAATCTGTAAGTTTTGAAGGACATTACAAAACCAAACTAATTTCACTAGTGGCAGAGGTCATGACTCTATATTCAGTTGAAAAACAGGAAACAATCACTTGTTTCTTGGATTTCAAGGAGATTGGAAAGTCGTCAAGATCTTCATTTGGCCCAAAAACAATTCAAAAAAAAAATCTAGAAACATATTAAACACCTAAAAAACATAGAGAAACTAAAAAATTCTTGAATAAAATGATCGAATATTAAAAAAATAAAGAACACCAAATATGAACCCAGCAATATAGGTTCCAAATCATACTATATTTGGTAAAAAAAAAGGCATATATATGCAAAAATCATGTAAGGATCAATAATCTAGCATTCAATTACTTTAATTTTCACTTAAACATCACAATTTTTATCAAAATAGGTTTCATTTTAAAACCAAAACTTTAAGATTAAAAGCCATTAAAATCATGTTATTAATACAAATGAACACTAGATTATTTGTTAATCATGCATAAAAAATTTTTTGGGGCAAATTAATGAAACAAAACAAGTCAAAATCATGTAACTAAGACAATGCACTTAGAAAGAACACGAAGAACAAGTGAACATTCAACATGAACCCAGCTCTAAAACCAAACCAAACAAAAGGCAAATACATGTTAGAAATCATGCAATGATCAATAATTTAACATCCATTTACTTTGATTATCAATAAATCATCATGATTTGGTCAAAATAGGTTTTGATTCAAAACCGAAATCCTAGAATTAAAAACCATTTAAGCATGTTATTAATATAAATAAATATCATATTATTTTTTAATTATGTATAACAAAAGTGTTTGTGCAAAGAAATGGATTGAAATTGATCCATATCAAAGGGGTAAGACAATATTTTTTTCAAAAACATGAAGAACATTACCTATAAATCCAGCCACTGTCAACCCAAGGAATTGATATATTTCATTTCTAAAACATGTTTTTTTTATCTAAACATGTTTGAATATAAAAACTAATAAAAAAATATCAAAACATCAAAATCAAGTATAAGATACACAATCCAAAAAACTAATAACAAAAAAAGATCTACATGTTCATGAAACATGGATTCAAAATTAGTTGATAAAAAATATGCCAAAGAAATAGAGCTTACAAGTTGAAAGGAAGTGGTAATTTGTAAGGATTTCAGACCTTTGTATATCTCGAAGGCCATGTGGGTGGAATATATTCAGCACATTATGTCTGATCCTTTTGTGCAATGATCACACTCATGTGTATAGAATCGAAATTAGCGTGCTCATGATTCCATTATAACGCACACCGGCAGCTCCAAGCCATCGTTTCACATGTGAAGTGGAGGTAAGTTTCCTTTTTAATTACATCTATTTTTTTATATAAATATATTTATCTAACAACAATTTTCTCTTTAGACTATGAGTCTTGGACACGAATATATAACATTTGTTTGAATAAGAGATGCAGTGATGATCCTTCAACCCATTTGAATCTTGATCCAGATTTGTGGTTAGAGGCAATATCGTCTGATAGATCTAATAAAAATAAAGTATATGGTCTCTCTAACATTACAACCAAGTACTTGCCAATGACCTGTAATGTTTCAACCATTGATACTCGCGAGTGATTTTAAGCACTTAAACTTTGTTGATTGGTGATGGAGATAAAATTATGAATGGATAGTACATGTGTTTCCTCTTATTCACCTTATGGTCTAGATAAAAACCCAAATCTTTCTTTTTCAGCACTTCTATTTTAAATTAATTGTATTTGAACTTATAAATATTTAAATTTATAATAAATATTTGAATTTTATATTTATTTAACTTTTTTTAATTATTTTCTATTTATGTTTAATAGATATTTTAAAAAAAGATTTTTGTAAAAATTATTGTTACCAACAAACATAATATTCTATCAATATATTCTAAAGAGCTAAACAATAAAATGATATTATAAAACTAATAATAAATTAACAACTGTCATTGGTTAAAATTATAATATCCATGTACAAGCGCCCGTCATGTACTTCACAACGAATGGTACACAAATTACAACGTTTGTCTATAATTTATTACAGTTACAAATATTTTGGAGAAAGTGTTATTTTTAAATATGGAACAAACTTACTTTCTTAATTTTATTTACAAAATATTCCAACAGCGGCGAGAGGATGGGGGCAATCATTTAACCAATTTCTCATGATTTTCTATCTAATCAAATATATAATCGATGGAAATGATACAATTATGTGTTATTCCCTCTCTATATAAATCTTTTATTAAAAAAAAGTATCCTTTAAACACCTCTTGCTGGTTTTTTTTCTCATTTCTTGAGGGTAGCATGGTCTTTAAACATTGTGAAACCATTTTGGTGTAATATGTGGGGCAATTCCAACTTCCCTGTTTTAGATAGATAGATGTGCAAAGACTCTTTTCCAATTCTTGACGAGGTGAGCTAGCGTAACGCATGAATTAGAGATACATAGAAAACTATGTGCCTGACTCCCAAGAAGCCTCTACTCTCGATCCCAAGCCAATTGGTGAAGGACAAATGACACTAGGTTTGTGAAGATCCTTCTTCCAATAAACCCTAGCATATAAAAACAAAATCGACACAAGATATCGCTCCATGAAACCAAAAGGTGCTCCCAAGATTTAGGTCATAGAAATGCATGAGCACATAACAAGTCACATTAATCAATCAATCTCTTTAAATTGCTCTTGCTTTACAGAACAGGAAAGGAAAAGATTCCATGTTCAATGGACCTTTGTATTTAGCTCAAGGTGAAGCTAAAGTTTGAATTACAAATGTTATGAGACAGATGGGACAATCAATAAATCCGTTGTTCAATGAGTAAAATGTAAAGATATGGAACCCGTGATGAGGTTATGGCGATTAAGAAATATACTTAATTTCCTAGATTAAAACCTTAGGGAGCTTTTCAGATATAACTTAGTTTTTGATTTATCAGAAAAAAAATACTTGGAGATATGGAGAATTAAAAAAGGAAAAAATGTGGTAAGGTCAAAGGAAGACGGGCTAAAAGCTTCCGGCTGGTACATGTTGTCACATCTCTTGATCCCATTTGATGCTACCTGGCCTCGATTAATAGTGAAAGAATGGAGGATTCTAGAGTTAATTTTCGTAGGTATTTCTTGCTTCTTCTTTTTTAAACATTTAAAAGATCAATTATATTTCCTGAGCCTTGGATTTCTTGATGAATGTATTCCACAGTTATTTCACATAGCCTTCAAAGAAAATTGATCAAAAAGAAAGCAAAAAAAATATCATTATTAATGATGGAGAAATTCAAACCTTTCTTCACAGTTCACATCCAGCCAGCTGACAGAAGATATATATATTTGTGTTGTCCCTCTAAAATTCTGCCACATGGTCAGAACGGGATTTGGAAAGCTCAATCATTTGAATAATTTAATGCTGATGTTCTTGACTACTCCTTTTCTTTTCTTGAGGAGGAAATTAAATGCATTACCAGCTTCTGGTAAAAAAATGAACTTCACTGGTTTTGTCTCTTTCCCACAGCTAAAATTTGAGCTTAAGTTATCCAAAAAAACGATGAAGGATGCGGAGAAACTCGAAATGAAGGGGATCCAAAATAAATTAAAAAAAAAAAGTTTTCCTTGAATGACCAAGTTTTTTTTGTTTTTATCAAATATTTAATTGGACTAAGAAAAAATAATAAATGTGGGGAAATCAAGAGGCATCTCCAAACCCTATCTATAAAGGAAGAACAAGTGAACATATAAACAAACAAAAGTGGGACAAAAAATACGGGAAAAAGAAGAGAACACAGATGAATTGGTAAAGAAAAACCCTAATCTTACAATGCTTTATTCACAACCAACATCACACCTTCCTTAATCAAATGAAGATGCAACTCTTTGAGCTAAATTACAAAGCAAAACCATGTGACCCTATCAATTTAATCAAAATATTAAAGAAAAAGGTGTGGTCCTTCCCTTCCATTAGGGCCTGTCTACATGTCATCGCTTGTCAACCAAACACACCACAGACAGAAGAACCGCCCAAAGCTAAAGACAAAAGGATGCCCTCTATACTGATTCCACCAACCTGGCCAATTCATACACTTCATATAAATAATGAAACAGTATTTACTGAAATGGCATTGCTTTAGGTCCTTTTTTTTAGCACACGGCAACTGCCTATTGCTTAAGGTGAGAGTAAGCTCAAGAAACCCTAGCTGAGGCCAAGATTTATCACAGACAGTGTTCTAGCAAAGAAAGCAGCTACGAACACACAGCATTTTGGAAAAAAGGGAAAAAAATAATCCCTTTATTTTGAAGGACCATGCAATCCATAGGGTAAAGGACATAATCTATGACAAATCAAGCGTGCACCCTTTTTCTTTCCCGTCTCCCAACCATTTTTTTCTTACGAATCCACATGCTGTATAACTTCCACTTCTATTAGAAATACGCCCTTAGATTAGGTCAAAAGGCTAACCCTTACCTATAAATTAACTAACCATAATTGTCTCTACGGCATATCATTTAATTTCTAACCTTTTCTTCTAGGTAATTTTTTTTCCTTCTTGTTGTACATGGCTAAAGACACGGGCTGTGGATCAATCAAGTTAATTTAGATTAATTTATTTAAAAAAATTAACTAATCAGGTTATTTAATTTACAATTTAGGGTGTCCAATATATTGGATGAAATTACTATTAACAATATTTATTATTGTTTGAAGTATAATTAACCTTGTTAGTTTCAGCTGGTTTTTCATCCAACCACTTTTTAGTTTGACCTTAGCAACTTAATTTCCTTGACATATAACAGTACTAACGTTAACTTAATTAATCTTAGTTGAGAGCAGGGTTAGGAGGACAGTACTGTGGTCCCTTTTATTGACATATTCACCCTTGCAACCCTGTGTAGAGAGAGAAAGAGGGAAGGGGAGGGGAGGCAGGAAGTCTGTGTCAATAGCTGTGAGGAAAGACCAAAACTCACCATTAAATACTCCATCTATGACACAGTAGAGCAGATTCGGGAAGGAGAGGGTGCATTTACAAAAATGGAGAGGGGGAGTTACGAGGGTTCCCCTACCTAAAACATGCATGGTTGCGCTTTCTTTTGTGATCTTTAGAGGTGTGAAAGCTTTTGCTTCTTTCCCTTTAAATTTGAGCTCTTACTTTTCCAAATTTCCCAACAAGCACCTAACCTCACTCCCCCCATTTGGTTCATCCTTCAATTTGTTTGATGTGTTGGTTTGAGAGGTTGAAGCTGCCAGCATGATCTGGTAATGAACCTATTACTCTTTATACATATATCAACAATAATCTTATAGCACTATTTATAGATAGACAAGATTAATATTGTCATAGATACATATTGATATATAAACCAACGAATCGAGGTAGGTTGTCTTAGTAGTTTAGGTTGATCAATTGATTGTGAGTTTTTCTGGCTATGAAAGTAGAATATATTGGTGATTTGTTATAATTATCAAGAAAAAGGAATTGTACTAACAGGGAAGGCACATAGGTAAACTTGTTCCTCATACATGGGGTATACGTATTTTCCAGGAAAAAGGGTAGAAAAATAATTAGAATTAAACTAGCTTGAACTTAGACCTGTATAAATATATGGTTCCACCAGGTCATCTTGCAGCTTCAATCACTCATTCACCAACAGCAGAAGAGATTCGGAAACATGCTTTCTGGGGTCTAATTTGCTCTCACAAGAGCTTAATTCATACAGGTATTAAGTATTTGGTTCCTCAAAGTTTCATCTTCCCTTTTCTTTTCTTTTTGTTTATCTCTGGATTAATTATCATTGAAACTGCAATTTCTAGTTGGTTATAATGTGATTTTTATCTCATTAATCAACATCTCTATCTTTCTTTATTGCATACACAAGAATTATGCATATGCAAACATAAGCATGCAGACACTCACAAATCTGCCTTGTCCAATCAGAATATTGACGGATTTTTAACCTACTCAGATCCAGCTATGTATCTTACAACAACTAAAAAATGTCAAGAAAGACTATATTATCCATCACTCTCCTCTCTTCATGGCTGTATGCTTCCATGTTTGTCTTTATTAGGCTGCAGGTATATATCAAGAATCAATAGGTAAATTAAATTCACAAGACACAAGAAAAGCATGCTGATTAGAAAATTTATATGTTTTATTTAAATTGGGTAGATATACGGTGGTAAATCCTATGCTCTCGTAACATGCCATATACAATTGGTTTTTGCGATCTGTTTTCCTTGTACTTCAATAAATAATTTTTAGCCTCATTTAACCTTTTTAGTTTTTACTGATTTTGGGAGTGAAACTGGATAGGAGACAAAGGGTGGTACAAATTTGGTTTCATCCTTAATTCCACAAGGTTAGTGGTCCAGTTTGGTGTTGCATGATCCACAGTTCTGAGCAGACATTGACACTCCTCCACAGGATGTTCCTTTCATCTATTGGACAATGTTTAGCATTCTGTGGCTTCCCAATTGTAGACGGTTAGCTCACATATATAGTATTAGTACTCCAACACTTCCGTATGAGGTTTCAATTTAGGAATTTTGATAGAGTGATGCTTCAAAAAGCCTTTAGATGATTCAATCTCTCTATCAGACATTCAAGCATAACATCAGAAATTCTTTTCTTTTTGTCCCTGTGTTTAAAAACGAGGCTGTTGCTTTACTTTCCATTTCTCATTCTGTATCTTAAGGGAAAAAGATTTGGTATGACAATTGTTTCCAAAATATCCGATCCAAAACAAGGCTCATTGGCATGACATTGCATGGTTCATTCCCATGCACACATTTTGAGTCTTCTGGTGACAAACTTGACATTTCGTGCAAATTATAGAAATCTCTCCGTAACATTTTCGTCACATAACAAAAAGTCTATCTAATTTCTGGCCAAGTCATATACTGTATACAAGTTGTTTTATGAAAATGGAAAATGTTGCACTAACATAAAGAAGTATGCATTGTGTCAGTAGGTGTTGATTAAGAATACAAGGGATATGAATATAGCCCCTATATAGGGCAGGTCTTAATTATATAAAAAGGGATTCTAGTGTTTTTACATCAACTGTTCTGAGAAGTTAGCTAATTTCTGATATCAAGTTTCGGTAACAATGGACAAGTATATGACTTGTTCCTTCAAGTTGTTGCAAAGATAGGGAAACCACTTCATATTCATATCTGCAAAAGATCGATGCTTCCAGTTGCAATTTCTTGGCTATATTCTTTACATATTAATTGAAAAGATTTAATATTACCCTGATCATATAGCTGCCTAATTAAACGGTGGTGATAATCAAGTTGTCACATAGGGAATATGGAGTAGTGTTTGTGGTTGGATTTGTTCTTGAAAATACAACTTCGATGCGATTTTAGTGACAACATGGATTAGATTGTTACCAATGTATTTCTCCTTCAATTCTTTTTCCCGTCTTTATCATGACTATCAGCATCTGAAGATTGGATACACTGTTTTATTTTCCACCTTATAGACAATAATTGTTGTCCACAGATACAACATATTCTAGTTCTAAGTCATACAATATATCATATCACTACCAGAATAAAAATTGGATATTGCTATTTTTAATATCAATTAAATTGTAGTTTGTGGTAGAGCTTTCTTTCTAGTGCTGTTGAGAATCAAGCAAGTTGGAAAATGCTGTTCTTTTTCTTCATGTTCCTGTGTTCTACTTTAATCAGTTACTATAGTTAGGGACATATAATTAAGTTTTGAGATGAAGGAGCAGATGCTGACTTGTTTGCCCTAATAAAAGCTTAGAGAAATCTCATCTTAATTTTGGAGGATTTAAATGTGTATACCATCTATATGTAAATCATTAGCCTTTCTCGTTAATCTTGAAATAAATTGATAATTAATCCCATCAATCTGGTTGAGAGGAACACAAGAAATTATTTATCTTAGGATCCATTTTTGTTTCAATAGAGCTGCATGTACTAGTAGGGATTGTCACTTGATTTCTAGAACCTATGAATTACTACAAAACTTGATTAATATGTGAAGTTCATTATTAGATTAGTATAATTGTGTGCTAGAGATGAATCGAAGATCTATATGGAAGAGGAGGTAAGTTTATCATTTTCTATATGATGATTGTGTGTTACATTTAGACCTTTTCAATCTGGATACCCTATGTGATGAATTGGATATTATTTTTATTTATTAATTATCTATCCGTTTATCTAATAAGGATATATTGTGTTGATTCGGAAGTTTAATTACAGAAAATATAGATGTTGACTGGAAACCATATGCAATAAACGAGATGGTCTTGAAAGATATGAAACTTGTGTCCTAGAAACCATAGTTGTGTGCTGTGAGACCGATATGAAAACTAACCCGAAAAAATGTAACATACTAGGTTATGTGATCAACTTATGAATCATGGAATGAATTTAAATTAATTATTTTTTAAAATAATATTTTTATTTAAAAGAATTCCTGGTGTTGAACAGGTTAGTTTTTTTTTTAAAAAAAATAATTTTCAGTTGAACTCAAAATCTAATCTGGATTAATTTTCGAGCTAGGTTTAACATCCATGTTTAAAACCATATATGTTTTTAATTTCTAGCTTCTAGTATCTATGATGATTTTAACATGGTGGTTATGTATTATATAATACGCCTTTCGATCCTTTAATTGGTGCTGCTGTTAGCTACAACTGGACATTGATTAGGTTTCAATACCAGCAAGAACAGTTGATCTTGTGATATGAAGGTCCGCGAGCCATATATAGCTAGGAGAAATAAGAGGAAATAATTAGATTAGCGTTGCATATTTATGTGAGATCATACCTTATATGATTTGATGAGGTGTACGTTGCAGGCCACTAAACACCAATAATTGATGCTTAAGTATTGTTTAAACCATCACGAGATTTATATACAGTAAGTTCATTAATTATTTGAAAATTCTTAATAAATTACACTTTCATGTTTTTTTTTTCTTTTTTTTTTGGAATGTTAAACATTTTCTAGGTGAATTTTTATGCCAATCATGAAGATAATCATGCATGATGATAACTATCCCATTTGAGCATTGGATATTGTTTATACAATTAACAGAAAAATAAATTAAAATGCACCCTAATTAGGTATGTAAATGGAACAATTTAAGGTGAAGCAGGAAATTTATCGAAGGCTGCAAGTGATTCAAGTCTCCCACTAAAGCTGGAAAAAAGGAGAAAGCTTCGCTTGTAAGATCCCTTGGAGCTTCTTTGCTACGTCTGCAAAAACAAGTTCCTGCTACCAATCAGTCAAAAAGGCACCCGTGTTTCTGCACACAAAAATTGATCTGCCATTTTTGAATCTGCCACTTGAAGAAACAAAGACACAGATCTGCTACTGCAAACCCCAGTTTCATTGCCATTGTACCGTTTTAGCATTCTCTGGGGTGACACATGTAGGACAACATATGACATATGTAAGAAAGATCTGGAAAAAATACCCAAATTTTTTTTTTAAAAAAAAGTACTTACAACTTTAAGAGTTTTTTTTTTTTGAGAAATAATATATCTTCATGAGTTGCACTGTTGGGAAAATGCAAATATATATAATTTTTTATCTTTTTATTCTTGAAAACCAAACAATGTTAAAAACACATGTAATTTCTAGACCATATTTGAAATTAAACCAATCACGTATAGATTTAGAAAAATATTTGGAGGTAAGACAAGAAATTCAACAGACGTTACAGTGTTTGTTCGTTACGATGTTTGTTCGTGAAAATAATTGACGCTAGAGGACATGGAGAAGAACATCGACAGTAGTGGTCTATTATCTACAGCTCGTAAGCTTGAATTTTATGGTTTTGTTCGTACAAAAGTAAAAGATGAGAGTTGATGTTAAAATAAATTAGATAAAGAAGCTCAATTAGATATTTTAACATGGAGGTTGAAGATAAATATGGCAAGATGGGCCCACATGGAGATTAAAAGATAGTGAAATAAAGCCATGTATTGACTTAATGGGGGTAGTTAGCCCGTCTGATATTGTATAAATAATTGATTTTTAAAGTTTTTTTTATTTTAAAATGAATAGAAATATTATTAATTTTTTATATTAGTATATTAAAATAATTTAAAATCACTAAAAAATTAATTTGAATATAAATAAATAAAATAAATAACATTTTTGAAATGTAAAATTTTTCAATTATTAAATTTAAATTTATAGCTGTTTTCATGAGATTGCCTGTTTGATGTATAAAAGCTAGGGCCTTGTATAAGTTTAAAATTATATAGGAAGTTGTATATATTTCTTAAAAGAAATGATTATGTTGCTGGGAACGACACTTCTGAACCACTGTGCTATTTTCTCAGTAAATTCTGGAACTATGCTCTGTTTTCCAAACTTTTTGGAGGTTGTGTTATTTTCAAAAATTAAACCCCAAAATTCTTGTACCATAATATTTCCAATATTTTGTTGTTAGAAGTTACCTTGCCGAACTGTAATTAAATTAATCACTACATCGTCATGCTAATTATCGAACGTACATCATTAATTAAAAAAATTAATAAAAAAATATTGAAATTTATGATCTATTAACATGATCAGACTACACTGTGTGAGACTGTGAGTAGCCTCCGAATCTTTTCTACACACACACACACACACATATATATATATATATGACTAAAAACACTAAAATATTTGGGTAAAGACTTCGTCTCTATGAACAGTTAACGGAAAATAAAAATAAATAAAATCACTGGACTTTTCTTTTAATTTGATATTTTTATACTACATTGATTTAGAGTTGTGGTTCGTGATTTGTTTTCTTTTAACTGGCTTGATATGAGTTTCTGTTCCTTTCAAAAACAAACTCTTTTGAAACTCAACTTTGATTGATAGTTAATTTGGTAAGATAAAAATCAAATTTAATTTTATTAATTCTATTTTCAATTGAGTTTTTCTGTGGCTGATTTAATGAGTTAAATATGTAATAAAAAATAAATTTCAAAGAAAAAGGATTGAAAAATTTATGCAAGCTGTCATTTTAGTCCAAAATATTATTTTGTATTTATATATATGTTTTTGTTTTTGGGTTGAGAGAGGAGAGAGAATCATGCTGAAAAATAGTGAAGGAAAAAGAACATTGTTGATTAGCCACATTCCAGCAATCAAAACGGATGATTTTAATGTTGAAAATCTATATTTATTCTAATTCTTTATGTTTTTTTAATCAAACAAAGAATCTATAATGAAAAAAAAAATTTAATTGAAAAAAATATATTAATAAGCAAAGAGGAATTACACTAGATTTTTTTGAATGGTGTTTAAATTATTTATTTTCTAATAAAAAATAATTTTATTATTGTATAATTAAATAATAAGATTTAAATGCTCTTTGCAATATAATATCTGGGTAGCTTAATGTTTTTTTTATCTCAGCTTCCCAACTCAATTTTTGGTTGAAATCATTATATTTATTATTATTTAATGATACTTAAAATTTTTGATTTATTGTATTTAATACATGTATCAACTTTTTAATTTGTAGTTAAAATTTTTCTTAGAGATAAAAAAAAACATTAATAATATCTACACCTTTTTTTGCGATGAAGAAATTTACTTCATACTACAGGGCATGGAATAAACTAGTATATGTATGAGTGTGCTCGTGGATATAATAACAATGATATTAACTTATTACTAAATTAAAAAAATATTTATTTTATATAATTTTATTATTATATAAAGAATTGATGTTATTATGTTGTGTGTACTATTATGATCTTTAAAACTTACAAGACAGATAGATAAGGAAAACTAAAAATACAATCTGGCAACAAAAATTAATTTATACCAAAAAAAATAAGTTTGTCGATATATTCCAGAGAATATTGGAATTGTTCCATTCTCCTTGATGTTGTTCATTATATTAATTATATAGGGTATTACCAAAAAATTAATTTTGTCAGTATATTCTAGAGAACTCTTAAACTATTCACTTCTCAACTTCACTATTCATGTTGTCAATTACATACAGGATCATCAACGGATTAATTCTGTTGATATTTTCTTAAAAGTTCAGAAATATTTATTTTTTAATTACATTATTAATTATTGTTTTTATAGACAGAATCATCGACGGGTTGAAAAGTCATTAGTGATATTTGAGGGGTTTTTTAAAAAAATTATTAAATTAAAAATCACTAACGGACTGAAAAGTCGTGAGTGATATTTGAAGGATTTCTAAAATATTTTGATTAAATTAAATATTATAGACAAAATTATCGATGGACTGAAAAGTCATTAATGATACTTGAAGGGTTTCTGAAATTTTTTAATTAATTTTAAAACTAAAACAAAATATTACAGATGGAATCACTGATGGATTGATTAAAAATATTAATATTTAATTATTGTTGGTAAAATGCCCTAATTAAAAGATCAAAATCCCTCATTTTATAACAAACACACCTCTTCTTCTTTTTTTTGTTATAAAAAGCACAAAAATCCCTTTCTTAAAGAATTTTTTTGAGTAGTTTTTTTTTTTGCCTCAAGTAGCTCAGTTCCTAAGTATTATTGAGTGCTGATTTATATTAATTTAATTAATTTTAATTATTTTTTATTATTGTTAAATAGGTTTTTTTAATCAAATAATTACTAATAGGAACACCAAAGAATTAAATCTGTTAATATATTCCAGAGAGTTGGAAAAGAATTACTATAAATATCATTGTGCCACTATTTAATTACTAAAAGAATTGCATATGATGTTTCTAGCTATTATATGGCAAAATTCCCAAGGAAAATACGGATGAAATGAAATAGGTAATTTTTTTTTACATGCTCTTATCGTCATTAAATTTATCAATAATTTTATTATTGATAGAATAAAAATTACAGAAAAAAGTTTATCAATAAAACATTTTCATCTTTGAGCTCATTAGTAAATTTATTACTGATAGAATAAAAATATAAATATTAACAAAAAATTCCATCAATAAATCTAAGAATTCTAGGAGTACACATTTGGGTTTAATGGTTCTATCTTTTATTTTATATAACTATTTTTTCTTTAAAACGTTTTTTTTATTATTTTATTTGTAATAACTAATTTTAAATATACATTAAACTCTCAATGTATTATTATGGAAAGAAACTTAGGTACTT